TTACAGAAGTGTTCCACCATAGCTGGCAAATCACTATATTTTGAAAGTTCCTTTTTCTTAAGCTCCAGTTTCATGAAGATACATTAACAAAAAGCACACCTGGCTAGAAAAATCTAAACAGAATCACAGCCAGTTTAAGAAAATTTTCAGATCTTCTAATAGCAAGACCTAGTTTTGTTAGCAGCTTAGGTTCAGTCTGTGATTAGAAGACTTCCAAATTCTTTGTCCTTCGTGGAAGAATCCATGGGAAGACACATGCATGTAAAGGTAGTTTATTAAAAGTTAGGAAAGGGAAATACAAAAGGGAGCATAGTGAGGCCCAGGTGAAATCCAGAGGCCAAGAGAGTATGCTTTCCTTCTCCAGGTGCTTTTAAAAACCCACCGTAACCCACGGGAAGGGCAGAACCAAGTGATTCCTATCCAATAATCAGTGAATGGGGCGGGGCATGGGCGGTTCAAAATAAATCAGATGTTGCATATTATATATGGTAAGCCAACTTGTTTGAGACTTAACAATTTGAAAGGAGTCCCTTGAAAAACAGAACAATAATGACCAATGAATTCTATCTAGCATGCGTGGAATGGGTGTATTGCTCTGTGTTAACCAACAAATGAAAATTGACACATTGTGAAGAACAGGAATAATCACTCCACCCACTCTATATACAACCTCTGCCAAGCACCTTGTGGTGCTTCCTGGGGAAGATTTGCTGGCCTTTGTGAGAACACAGAGTAATGCATGAGGAAATATGAGAAGAGTTTAAAATACAGATTTCTTATCAGATATGTGATTTCCAGAAGCAGAGTAACATGTCTAAAAAATTGTGGAAAATAATGTTATTTGCAAATCGGTCAGGGCTCTTGAAATACTTTTGCTCAAACATTATTTTCAATGGATTTTTTTTTTAAACAGTAATTAAGTTTGCCAAGAAGTTTGTCATAGATCAAGTCTGTTCTAACAGATACTTAGGTGTGTAAGCATGAGGAACAGTTGTGCCTCCAAAACTGATTTTGAGCTGAGTGGGTGGAGTTTTGTAGGCTTTTTTTTTTTTTCTTTCAAAAATCTTTTATTTGCGTTTCTGAAGGTTTGGATATTTTTTCTTTTTTTAAAATCAGTAACAAAAGTACAAGAATTTCCGTTAGAATAACTTGTTTTATTTATATTTATATCTCCATATATATGTACATATAGTTTCTTTTTTCAGGGAGTGCACTTGCAAAGCAGCACTACTGCTTGGGCCACACACCTCCAGTCCATTTTGCTCTGGTTATTTTGGAAATGGGGTCATGTACACTATTTGCCCAGGCTGCCCTTAAACCCACAGCCCTCCAGATCTCAGCCTCCCAAGTAGCTAGGATTATAGGCATGAGCCAGCGGTGGCTGATATATGTGTATATATATATATATATATATATATATACACACACATATATATTTGCTTTTTATTTGTGGCAAGAAGAAAAATACCAAAATACTATCTATTGCCCACAAAGATTTTTCTAGCCACCATGTTGAAACAATAGGGAAAAAGTAGATGAATCAACTTTTTTTTTTCTTTTCTCTTTAAGGCTTTCTCATAGACTAGAGGTGTGATTCAAGCAGTAGAGGGCCTGCCTTGCAAGTGCAAAGTCCTGAGTTTAAGCCCTAGTACCACCAAAAAAAAAACCAAACTTTTTTGCTTAGAGCAAGTAACTATTTACAAGGCTAGTTTAAGTATATTTTAGTCCAGCAGTTGACAGGAAAAATAGTTATTTGTTGTTCTCCAACTTTACTTCTGTATCACAAAACTGTAATTCTTTAACTTAATCAGCACTTTACTGGCAGATGGAGGGCTTCAGCCATTCACTAAGAGGAATTGAGATGGGGTTGTGCACCAGGTTGCTGTGGATTTAATGGCTTTCAAAAAGAAATGGCATTTCGGCTATTTCATAAGCCAACTGTAAAGAGCCACTGAACTGTGACTGTGATGCAAGTCTCTCCCCTCCTCATCATACCCGCAATGTATGTACTTTGAGTTAATCTTCAGTGTCAGAATGTAATCTTTCTTCTGGTCTGCTGCTTGAAAATAAATTGAGGGATGAATTTGCAAGCTGTGATTATTTGCCTTGGGTGCATGTTAAGAATGACAACTGTGACTGGAGGTATGGCTCAAGCTGTAGAACACCTGCTTTGCTAAATCTGAAGCCCTGAGTTCAAACCCCACTCCCACAAAAAGAAAAAAAAGAGCCAGGTGCCACTGGCTCAGGCCTGTAATTCTAGCTACACAGGAGGCAAAGATCAAAAGGATCCTGTTCTAAGTCAGCCCCAGGCAAATAGTTCTCAAGACCCTATCTCAAAAAAGCCTTCACAAAAAACTGGTAGAGTGATTTAAGTAGTAAGTGTGCTTGCCTTGCAAGCTTAAGTCCCTGAGTGCAAACCTCAGTGTCGCAAAAAAAAGAGGGACAACTATAATTTCAGTTTTTATGTAGTCTATTACTAAAATAGCTCTAGTTGTTATTAAGAAATGCTTTGTGGCGGGAGTGGTAATTCATATCTGTAATCCCTGTACTCAGAAAGTAGAGGCAAGAGGATCATGAGTTCAAGACTAGCCTGGGCTACATAGTGAGACCCTAGTTCCAAAAAAATAAAAGCTTTGTATAAGCTGAGACATCAGTGGCCTAAACCATTGATTGTGGAGGTAGAAAAATGAAAATAGAACTAAAGTTTTGTGAGTATACAGTAAAAGATTAAGAGGATGTGACAGATAGTTGGCTTTATAACAATATCTAGATTTCAAATATGTCAAGTTTTAGATTATTTAGATCACTTATTTGTTCATGATAGTTTTGGTTAAAACATTGGTATAAAAACTTTTAACCTCTTTATTTTCAACTGTTTTCCTAGTGTCTTATGGGAGTCCCCACACCACCAAAATGCCCCCAAAGCATGTAATATTACATATAGCACCTTGGTAAATTATCTCAGTATTAGCCCCCAAATACGTCTATGATAGTTGCACATGATGTAAATGTACTGTGACTTGGACTCTACTCAGCTGCAGTGTGTCCCTCAAGACACTTACAGTGGCAGATCATTTATGTCTCCAAATTACTTTTAAGGGAATAGAGTGATTGTTGCCTTCGGCAACAAAAAACTTAGAATCTTTCTAACACTTAGGTCTTGGTTTTTTCTCTTAATGGCTTACCTATGATTATTCTTGGTGATTTAAAATGATAAGGAAAGTTTTTATTTCAAAGACAATCTTGTTGTGTGTGTATTTTGTTGGAATTTCTTTTATATTCATGACATTTATTTCTAGTGTAAATGCATGAAGTATTTGCATTCTCCTCTGTATTATACAAAAGTTACTTGAACTTCTAAGGAAAAAAATCTCTTTCAAAAAAAGTTTGCCCTGTTTGCCCCTTTGTAGTTAGAATCATGACTGATAAACAGTAACTATCTCAGAAGGCTCTGGTCTACATCACTAACATAAAGTCACTTTAGAAGTCATTGAGAGTGAGACCAAGACTGGAGATTAAGACTTCAATGCCCTTCTCCATCTCAGTCATGGGTTTCTGGTCTAATCGGAGTTGACTTCACCTCTTCTATATATGGCTCTGCAGGCCTTTTCCACAGCTTTCAGTATTCACTGGAGGACTTTTTGGAGCACTTCATCCCACACTGGTCTGGCCTTTCTCCTTCCAGTTCTTTTAGTATGTATCTTCTGTACCAAAAAAAAATCTAGTCTTCAATTTTGAAATCTTAATGATTTTAAGTTCTTAGTGGGCATGGACTATTTCTTGCACTTTGGTTTTGGTTTTTCTCATAGCATGGATGCAAAATAAGGTCTCCTGTAAGTATTTGATGGTTGGCAGGATTAGGATCAAAGAAAAATACCAGCCAGGAGTTAGGAATGTGTCAGCTTCTGATAAATGCAATAGCAAAAAAAAAAAAAAAAAATTTCCTCCTTTTATTTCTTTGCTTTGTATTTACAAAAAGCAGCAACTTAATTGTTCTAGAAAAAAATGAAGTTTATTTGAATCATTATACTTTTAGGAAAAGCATTAGACAGTTACTAATGCACACTAGAGTACCTTTTTGCTGGCCCTGGGAAAGGGTTATTTGCCTTTTAACCATAGTGTGACAAATGAGAAAATAAAAGGTACAGAAACTAACTAAAGATGTTTGATTTTGTAAGTTGCCCCAAGTTACCATTTTAAAAACCGCCTGGGAGCAGGTAGCTGCAGTTTGCCCAGCCGGTTTAACAGCACTGCTGCCACACATTCCGGGTGAGAGGGAGCTGAGCACAGGGCCTTATCAGAGATCTCTGTCCTGGTCATCTCAGAACAAGTCGTTTAGTAATGTACAGGAGTTCCTGTGCAAACCACAGAACGATTCAAGGTTCATAGTTCCTTCTTTGTTTCTTTGTTAATCACTGACTTCTGACCAGGGGGAGGTGCCTCCCAAATTTGCTAATGCATTCTTTTTGGATAAGGATGACGCACAGATTGTCCTAATAAGGACTTAGATTGAGAAAGCACCGCCCCCCTCTGAGAAGATGGGACAAGTCAGAGAGAGGGCGGGCAGTTTCTTTTTTAACTAGGGATGACACAAGCATAAGTCATTTCCTTATTAATCGGTTCAAACCAGTTCTTACAGGAACTGGTGGTGATAAATGTGGGACTTCTCAGAAGTCATTCATTTTATTCTTCATGCTGCCCCAGTGTGCAGTATCAGCTATGCTGGCCTCACTCTGAGGACTCACTCTTGTGCTACAAGTGGCTCCTCCTGTCTCTTAGCCTTTACACATGATAATAGAGATTTTTCTACTCGAAGGAAGAATTTTTATCTACTACAAAGAGCTCACAGGATTTCAGCAACTCTGCTTGTTGTATTTTGTTCCTCTTTTTAGTCAATCCCTGTTTTTTGAGTCCAGGTGGTAAGTGGGTTTTCTTTAACATTTCTCCTGCTTTTCTTCCCAAATGTATCTTTTCCTTGGGCGACTGTACCCTGCTTCCAGTGCTGTCCCTGGCATAGGTCCGTCTCTGCAGAAGCCATTCCAGGAATACCTGGAGGCCCAACGGCAGAAGCTTCACCACAAAAGCGAAATGGGCACACCACAGGTGAGAATTTGTTCTGGGTTCTTCTCCCTCTGACAGTCTCAGACTGAAATTATATTCAGAGCTCTCACTCACATTTTTTAGGCAGAGTGAGGCTTGTGTACCAGTTTCTTAGCAGAAATTGAGGCACCATGTACTCTCTACGTTGAAATTTTTCTTTGTCTTAAATCATCAAAAAAACTGTAACTACTTTTTGGGATATCTTCCAAATACAAGGGTGGGGTAATGGATAATAATGGTTGTTAGGTGGAATGAGTTGTTGCCTTGATCTTAAATGACTTATCAGATATACTTCCCAGATAGATTAAAAAGTTAAAGTTTACAGCATAACAAAATATTAGATTTAGGTAATTTGAATGTCTATCTGCCTGTACTTTTTCATATCAGCTGTGGGAAAATAATGTTTTTTTTTTTTTTCAGTAAAAATAATAGTAAAGTTTATTAGGAAAGGATTACACTTTGAACAGAATGAAAACAAGTTGTCTCTAGAGTGAGAGCAACAGAGTCATGGAGAGAGAAAGAGAGAGACTTTTCCTGTTCCCCATGCAGGAAGTGGGAGCAAAGACTCCATCTTTTTTTTTTTTAAATAAACCAAGGCTCTTAACATAACTGAACTTTAAAACTTTAACTTAACCAACCCTGCCTTTTTTGTAAACAGTTCTGTGGCAAGGGGAAATAACCAGAGGAGGATGAGTAAGCAATAGCCTAGAATGGGAAACTAGGAGGCACTGTTGTTTTTTTAGTAGCTTTACACTCTTCTTGTGTCCCTTTGCTGCCCTCAGTTGTCCAAACATGACTTACATTTATGTTTTAAAAGCAATTCCCAGTGCTGACATTGTTCAGCTATCCTGACATTACTCTGCAAGTATCTGCATGGCAACCGGAGAGAGGAGAATTTAACCACTGAGTACTCTTGGGTCACAGTGAAAGGCAAAAGATTAGCTTGCACTCTCTCTCTCTAAACTGTAAGTCAATATGAACTTTCCATCCAACAAAGTGAAATCTTGATGGCCAACTGTACAAAGGCCCAGCCTGAATGCAGACTTCAGGGGAACTTCATGGAGATGACGCAGACTCTTCATTTTTTAAGTGTTTAGGTTATAAGCTTCAGATTCTCATGATTTTCTTTAAAACACTGTAAATGATTCCCTTTTTACTGTTGCCTTTCTGATTTGAATTGTTCTTCATTTTCTTCCTGCAGGGAGAAAACTGGTTGTCCTGGATGTTTGAGAAGCTGGTTGTTGTGATGGTGTGTTACTTTATCCTGTCTATCATTAACTCCATGGCACAAAGTTATGCCAAACGAATCCAGCAGCGATTGAACTCAGAGGAGAAAACTAAATAAGCAGAGAAAGTTTTTAACTTGCAGGAATTAGAATGGATGGGTTCTGCCTTACATTGGGAGGACTCTAAACCAGGAAGGAAAATTCCCTTTTCCAACCTGTATCAATTTTAAAAACTTTTTTCCTGAAAGCAGTTTAGTCCATATTTTGCACTAACATACTTTTCCTTTATGTGTTAAGGTAAGGTATACACCCTCAATTCCATCCACATCGTATTTCATTAGGGTGGAATGTGGTGTTTAGCCACACACTTAACAGGAACTGGCTTTCTATTTGTTACTTTTTAAAGGCCCACATAGTACAATTGGGGAATTCCTGCCACACAAAAAGTTCCTAAGTATGTTAACTATGTCAAGCTTTTTAAGCTTGTCACAAATGATTGCTTTGTTTTTCTAAGTCATCAAAATGTATAGAAATTATATAGTTTGGATAACAGTCTTGCATGTCTATCATGGTACAATTTAATATGCCATTCTGCCCAAATTTTCCTCTCCCACCCTCAAAGAAAGGCCATTTTATGATGCATTGCACACCCTCGGGGGAAATTGATCTTTAAATTTTGAGACAGTATAAGGAAAATCTGTTTGGTGTCTCATGAATGAGTACACCATTTTTTATTCTGTATATTTAGAATGAAGTCATGAAAAAACTTTATAAAGACATCTTTGATCATTCCAAAATTGTGTTTGTTTTCTTTGGCAATTGATTTTTTTCCCTTCCTTTGAGCTTATACCAGCTGAATGGTAGCCTTGCCAAATACACATACAACCAGAATTTCTTAAGCTTCCAATTACTTACATAAAAGAGCAACTACCCAGATACCTTTTTGTTACATGGAACTAGGCAGCTACACACTGCTAAATGGCTCTTCTGGGATTGGCCTAGTCTGGGGATTTCTTGGTTTGTGAAAACAGAAGACAAGAGGTGATTATATACAAATCAAAGGGCACAGGAGAGAAATTACTTTTTTTTTTTTAAACTACACCTTCTGGTGTCTGTGGTGATTTTAGTTAGTTGTACTTGGTTTTACCAGAAGTTTACTTTCATATTTAACTTAGTTTCCTTTGTTAATGTGGTTTTCCTTTGAGATGTTTCTAATTGAACCTTTCCATTTTGCTTTGCTTGGGTGGAAAATAAACAATTTTAATTTTTTTCCTTTAGGAAAACTTATACTGACATTATATCAAAATAGAATAGAATTGGAGTTAAATCTCAACAGGCCAGAAATGCTTGGCTTGTTTTATCAAATCCTGCCTGAATGTCTGCTTGTTTTGCCTACCGTCGTGACATCTTCATGGCTGTACCACCTTGTCGGGTAGCTTATCAGACTGATGTTGACTGTTGAATCTCATGGCAACAGCAGTCGATGGGCTGTCTGACATCTTGGTATCTTTCATCTGACCATCCATGTCAAACGTTCTCATTCAGACATTACCCAGCATCATGGCTTACACTCAGAAGCTGTGGTCTTTGTGTCTAATGGCACTTTGAGTCCTTTATGCCATGACATTGCAGCTGTATCAAGAGAAGACTTTATGGGAAATTGGGATAGTCTCACAACTAAATAAAGGATAAGTTTCCTGCCTTGGGGATCTTGGAAAGGTTACTATTTCCTTAACATTTTTTTTGTTTGCTTGTTTTTCAGGGACTCTCTATTAGTTTGTTACTTGACCTTATTTGAAAAGCAGTACCCAAATATTTTATTGTAAATTTCACATTAACCAACGTGATTTTTTAGATTCTTTAGAGTTAGCTAAAGTCAGGGTTCCTAGACGAGCTTAAAGTGTGTTTCATCTCTTTCACTAGCATTTTATTTGGTGTTCATCTGAAAAAGGAAAGAAGAAAGTAAATATAAATTGTACTGTTTATACAAAAGGTTTGGGGTTTATTGATAAATTTGTTTCAGGGTGATACATTAGAAAAATCTTATTTCCTAGGCTACTGGCCTTAAGAATTAATTTATTTGACTTATAATGACCATTTATTTACTGTTTCAAGTGAATTAAACGAATGAAGAGCAGCTTTCCTTTCCTCTAGTGTTCAGGTGTGACATGCTCAGATGTTCCTGCTGGATTCCACTGCAGCAGTGTGATAACCCAACTATTCCGGTGGTTAGCTTGATCCTTTCTCCCCAAAGTACTGGGGATTGAATTCAGGGCCTGGTACATGATAGGCAAGCACACTGTACCATTTGAGCCATGCCCCAGCCTCATTTGTTCCTTTCTTGTGTTCACTAACATAGATAGAACTACATGACCCTAAAGATAAGCCTACTTAATTCCAGCTGGTGGAGACCAGAAAACTTGAAAGTGGATAGTTTGATACTACTGTAAATAAAAAGAGGGTTTGCATCTCTGTAGTCTTATTTTGTGCCTTAACACAACAGTGCTTACATAGCAGTAAGTATACCAAGCACTGACAGTTTTCACAGCCCCCTGTAGTCTGCCTGTACATGTGGAAGAAAGGGATGTTTTCACTTTCATTTGAATAGTGGACACCAATTCTCATTCTGCTAAGAACCTAGGAAAAGTCAAAGATGAAAATGAGGCTTCTTTTCTTTGTTATTTTTGTTTCTGTTTTTTGTTTGGTGGTGACACAAGGGTTTGAACACGGCCTCATGCTTGCTCACCACTTGAGCCATGTCCCCAAGCCCTGAAGTTTCTTAAAGTAGTTGTTGAAGTGTGTCCTGTAGCAAGTGATCCCACACAATCTCAGCCTGTGCCCCATTGTTATCTGCTCTCTATAGCATTAGGATCCACAAGGCTTTCAGCTGTGACTCACTGGATACAGAGAGTACTCTGAGCTTAAGAACCAATTACCCTCCTGTAAAGTCCTGCAATCAGTCATATGTTTCCAGCTTTTAATTCACTGAAAAATGAGCATCTGATAAACATGTAAGACTTTCATAATACAGTCCCTCCTCCAGAAAACGTTTTTTTCTTTTGATGGTGCTGGGAATTGAACCCAGGGTCTTGTGCATGCAGAGCACAGCCTCTACCACTGAGATACTTCCCCAGCCCACAAAAATGGTTTGAATGTACTTTTAGAAAAATGCCCTTGTTTTGGAGTAGGTAGCTTTTTGGAGTAAGTTTTTTTATTAAAAAAAAAATAAAGAGAACATTAGAAAACTTTACCATGTGTGAGCACACACAGGATCTTTGGCATGCTAAGCACATGTTGTACCACTGAACTGTGCCCCAGGTCCCAGCCCCAAACATCCTCAAAGGTTCAGGTCAACAAAGCAAAGTGGTCTCATCTGTAATCCCAGCACTTGAGATGCTGAGGCAAGTGCATCACTAGCTTGAGGCCAGTCAATGCTACATAGTGAGACCCTGTCTCTTAAAAAAAAACAAAGAGCAGATAGGCAGAAATTACTGAATTAGTGGTTTAATTAATAACCCTCAAATAAGGAGGTAATCCTGCTTAAGAAAATGTACAAAGCTCAGGTAACATAAAACAACAAATAATTTAAAATACTTTTAACTATCACCTTAAATTGTTGACATTTACTTATTTTCATAATAAAGAATGTTAGTTCCTTGGGTGGTAAGGGAGGGGGTGGGGGCAGGGGGGAGAAATGAACCAAGCCTTGTATGCACATATGAATAATAAAAGAAAAATGAAAAAAAAAATCACACAGTAAATGACAAAAGACAAGTGACATTAAAAAAAAACAAAAAAAAAATGTTAGTTCTTGGACATACCAACACTGCACCCCATAAATATTTGTCAGTTAAAATTTTCTATTTTAGTCACAGCTACTCAGGAGGCTGAGATGGGAGGATCACTTGAGTGTAGGAGTTTGAGGCTACCCTCAAACTGACCAACAGAGAGAACCTGACTCAAATTTTTTTAAAATGTGTAATGAAAAAGAATGTTAGTACTGGAAGGCAGAGAAAAAAGGCAGTATCAGATTTTACTACCTTACTAGAAAAAGCTCAATCTGGAATATCCAATGCAAATTGCTAGGTAAATAAAAGGATTTAAAACTGATTTGAAGGAAAAAAGAAAAGATTTGATGGCATACATAATCTTCCTCAATAGACCTGAAAGTCTCCTTTATATTAGACACAAAAACCAAAAATAAATATAGCTGGGCACCAGTGGCTCACACTTGTAATCCTAACTATTTCAGAGGCTCAAATTAGGATTGTGGTTCCAAGTCAGCTAGCGGTGGTGAGGTTCAAGCATAGAGCGCCTGCCTAGAAAATAGACACAAAAAAATGTTTTTTTTCCATAAATACTGAGGGGAGTTTTGTGTGTATGTGGGTTGTGGGGATTTTTTTGAGGGGTAGGGGGAATATTTTGGCAGTACTGGGGAGCTCGGGTTCAAACTTAATAGGCTGGCACTCCACTGTTTGAGCCACACCTCCAGCACTTTTTGCTCTGATTATTTTGGAGCTAGGGTCTTGCTTTTCACCCGGGCTGTTCTGGACTGCGATCCTCCTATTTTAAACTTATGACCATCCCCGGGGTAGCAGGTGCATACCACCACACCCAGCTTTTTTTCCCATTGAAGTGGAATCTCAAAAACTTTTTTGCCCAGGCTGGCGTGGAACCATAATTCTTTCATAGCAATTCTTAAAAACTAAGTAACATTCCATCGCCAACACTGATGAAGCTTCTCTGGTATTCATGAAACATTGTAACTGAGATACTACACAAAACCATTGCATCTGAAGGGTTCTGTTCCTTTATTCTCAGACAGCAAGAAAAAGCTTTGTGTGAGTGTACTTTACACTCAACAGGCAGTTGAAGTCATTGGGTCTAGTAGACAGGGGCTAGGGCCCCTCTCTCTCCCCAGCAAGGCCAACAGTTCACCTGAGGTCATGTGTTTGTTTGCCTTGGAGGTGAGGCCATGAGTTGTAGCAAATGACCTCCACTTATTTGCATATTTAAGCCATACTCATGAGGGATTTTACAAAAACCTATTCGAGACAGCTGCGGACTCATTGCCTTTAGAATGGCGTGGTGCTGGGATAAGCAGGTACCACCTGTTTGTTCATACTCTTTGACCCACTAGCCTGCCAGTTTGCTGTGTGGGTGTTGGTACTACTCAGTTAAAAGGGGAAACTGCTGTAGATGGCCCAGCTCTCCAGCCCAACTCCTGGATTCATCTGAGGTCTGGGATTCAAATTCTGTAGTCAGGAGACTGGCCCAAACTGTGGCCCAGAGAGTGAGTCAGTTGCAAGTGACTGGCTGACTTTATGGGAACAGAAATGAATTGCAGCTTCAAGGATTTGTCAGCCAAATCCACAAATGTGTGGCTTTTGAAACATTGGACATCTGTTCCTCTTAATTTAAAATAAACTTTTTTTAAAAAGCACAAAGTTGCTTGGCTCCAAGTTTCTTCTTGTCAGCAGCATCGCTGCTCTAACTTAGAAAGCCTAGACTCAGATTTAGGAAATTTGCAATCTTTACGGCACACTTCAGTCTACAGCGTGGAACTGAATTGCAGTGGAAGGAAGAGGAGGATTTTACAGCCTGGGTTTCTGTGGAAATCCCCTTCCTGGGTATTGAGCCCAGGTGTCCAACCTGTTTGTTAACCATTTCCAAATGACTCAAGAGGAAGTGCTTGAACATACTCCAGCACTATTTCTACAATTTAGCCTTTATTTGCATTGGAAACCAAATTCCAGAACTCTTAAGTGAAAGACTAGGTTACTCTGGCATCTTTGAT